TAGCCAACATCTTAACCAGACGAGACGACACATCATGTGTCAACTCGAAAGGTAGCCGGCGTCTTGATTAGATGAGACAACACTTTCTGTGTCGACTCGAGATCAAACAAGATGACACCTCCATGTCGACTCGAGAGGCATTGGTAGTCGAGTCGAGTCCGAGCCAAGACCCGAGACGAGATAGACTTCATGTCGAGACTCGAGATGAGATTTCCATTGGGGTGAATCGAAAGGCGTTAATAGTTAACTTGAAGTCCTAGACGAGATCCCTTCGATAGTCGACTCGAAGTCTGAGACGAGACCCCTTAGTGTCGACTCGAGAGGCATTGGTAGTCGACTCGAAGTTCGATCCGAGACTCAAGATGAGATCCCCTTAGTGTCAACTTGAGAGACGGTCCGAGATGAGACCGAGACGAGATGACAGTTTGAAGTTGAGACAAGATCAATGTCGACTCGAGATGCGGTACGAGATGAGATCGAGACAAGACGATAGTTCCAAGTCAAGACGAGATCAATGTTGACCAGATGAGATGATAATTCTAATGTCGACTCGAATGGCGAACTGAGATGACACCTCATGTGTCGACTCGAAGGCTGATAGAAGTCAACATCTCGAGATGATACCTAAGACGAGACCCCCCTTCGTGTCGACTCGAAAGGCGTTGGTAGTCATCTCAAAGTCCAAGCCAAGACCCGAGATGAGATCTCCTTCGTGTCGACTCGAAAGGTGTTGGTAATCAACTCGAAGTCCTAGACAAGATCCCTTTGTGTCAACTCGAGAGACGGTCCGAGATGAGACCGAGACTAGACGTTGAAGTCGAGATGAGATCAATGTAGACCAGATGAGATGATAATTCCTATGTCGACTCGAATGGCGAACTGAGACGACACCTCATGTGTTGACTCAAAGGCTGATAGAAGCCAACATCTCGAGATGATACCTAAGACGAGACCCCACTTGAAGTCCTAGACGAGATCCCTTCGTGCCGATTCGAGAGGCGGTGATAGCCGACTCTAAGCCTAAGATGAGACCAGAGATGAGATCCCTTTTGTGTCGACTTAAAAGGCGGTGATAGTCGACTCGAAGTCTGAGATGAGACCCCTTAGTGTCGACTCGAGAGGCATTGGTAGTCGACTCGAAGTTCGATCCGAGACTCAAGATGAGATCCCCTTAGTGTCAACTTGAGAGACGGTCCGAGATGAGACCGAGACGAGATGACAGTTTGAAGTTGAGACAAGATCAATGTCGACTCGAGATGCGGTACGAGATGAGATCGAGACAAGACGATAGTTCCAAGTCAAGACGAGATCAATGTTGACCAGATGAGATGATAATTCTAATGTCGACTCGAATGGCGAACTGAGATGACACCTCATGTGTCGACTCGAAGGCTGATAGAAGTCAACATCTCGAGATGATACCTAAGACGAGACCCCCCTTCGTGTCGACTCGAAAGGCGTTGGTAGTCATCTCAAAGTCCAAGCCAAGACCCGAGATGAGATCTCCTTCGTGTCGACTCGAAAGGTGTTGGTAATCAACTCGAAGTCCTAGACAAGATCCCTTTGTGTCAACTCGAGAGACGGTCCGAGATGAGACCGAGACTAGACGTTGAAGTCGAGATGAGATCAATGTAGACCAGATGAGATGATAATTCCTATGTCGACTCGAATGGCGAACTGAGACGACACCTCATGTGTTGACTCAAAGGCTGATAGAAGCCAACATCTCGAGATGATACCTAAGACGAGACCCCCTCCATGTCGACTCAAAAGATGATGATAGTCGACTCGAATTCCGAGACACTTTCCACTGTCTCGAAAGAGGTGGCTTTGTCTGAGACACTAGCAAGTGTCTCGACAAAAGACCAACCTCCGAAGCCAAGTCCCTTCGTGCTAACTCAAAAGGTGGTGTTAGTCGACACGCCTTGAGTCGACTCGAAAGCTTCCTATCTCGTCAAGCGATTCTCAATATTATAAGGAACTAAAGGGAAGATTCAACGATCTTTGCAACGTTTTGACAAAAGTCAATGAATCTCTTCAACTCAAAGGTCAACTAAGGAATACCCGAGAAGCGCATCATTTCTAGGCACAAAACATGTCTTGAAAGCCATGAGACAATTCATAGTTTTTGAGATAGTGGCGACTATCTCGAAAACTAGAGTGGGTTTAGCGATGGTTTTCTCGAGTTTTGTGCAATCCTCGTAGCTTAATAACTACTGGGAATCATCCAAAAATGTGGGGGAGCCGTTACAAGCAAAAAATCATGCACATAATCACAGAAATAATGGCAATTAAACAAGATGGGAGCGGTTATGAAACTGCCAGAAGCAAGCCATGCTCCTGAGATAGTCGCGATTGTCTCGGAAATAGGAGTTCTTCGACATGATTCCTTTTCGACTTCAACCTTCAGTTACAGTCTCTAGGGGTTATAAATAACCCCCTACCACCTATATGCACGGGGAGAGAGCATACCAAGGAAGGACGAAGGTAGGGAGAGAAGGGACTTGAGCTAGTTGGTGAATCTTGAGCAAGAGAGAGAGAGAGAGTCTTCATTGTTTTCAAGCATTTCCAAGAACCTTTGGTGTTTCCTCGAGATCTAAGTTTTGACTTGATCTTGGGAAGAGTGTTTTATCTATCTTTGCTAAGATAACCACTTCTATTTTTGTTTCTAAAATGAAACATCGAACTTAACCCTTCTTCATGATTTAATTTGGATCTGTGATTCGGTCATCCACAGGCTAACACACCCCCAGCACAGGCAAAGATTCTACGCAAGCAGCGGGTGATAAAAATCCTCTACGTGTGTTTCTAGAGAGTTGTATTTTTATTTTTTTATTCGTGTAAGAAAAGTCCTGTAAAAAGGCTGACTATTTTAAACTTGTTGTAAATGACTGAAGTTGTAATGAGTTCTATGAATAAACTAACTTTCGACGCAAACAAGTAGCAGTCAAGATCAAATTGAAATGATTCTTCTCAGAAGTGCTCGTATATAGAGGTAACTTATCACAGGCACCAATTTTTCTATCCTAAAGGATGATCAGTCAGGGAAGCCTTAATTTTTGTTTAGTGGCAGTGCTCCTGAGGGTACTTTAGTATTCAACCAGGAAAAAGAGCGTTGGTACTACATTCAAAGGGATCGTTGTTATTACCTGACAGTAATAGAACGACAAGTATCATCCATGTACTTGCAACACCTAGCGGTTCCACACTTGATGCAATTTTCTTTGAAGTGGGTTCCCTAAAGTACGACGGCTACTTTCACTAAGAAGGACTTTTTGGGGTCAACATCGTGGGTTTTCGTCTTAGCTTCATTAAAGAGGACGATCCCGTCAATGAAGCTCTCCTAATCTCTAGTCATCCGCTTGCCGACGCTAATGCTCAGTACCCGTAAGAGGATGTCAGGTTCCTTAGCTGGATCAGATCAACAAACACCAAGTAGTGGACTAGTTTGATCAATTATGCTCTCGCTACTTTTGGGGAGAGTCTGACAAGGTTGGGGTTCTATTCTACAGTATGGGCCTCTAAGTACGGTGTGGATTATTTGTGCACCGATGGTATACAATATTGTAGAGTTGTATAATGTTGATAGTAACACTTTCTTCACTCCTACAGGGGAAATGGGGATAGCTTTACTTGAGGTGTTTGAGGTATCTCGAGTGCCGATGGGAAATGATCATATGAAGATTTCTTCCCAATAAATGTAGAGTTAGCGACTATGAGCCACAACATTCATCTTGGTGAAGTGTTTTGCGAACTAGTCTGTCATTTCCACATCTGTCACTTGACGATTAGACCTGCCACGATCGGTCTTCATGTTGCTTATGTACCTTGGGTGAAATATTTATTCCTTAATGTAAGCAAAAAGGGGAGAGTTGATTCAATCTCTCTGGTGACTGATCTTGAGGTAGAAACTAGGATCATCAACAATGGTCCTATAAACTATATTGCCAAATCGAGTGAGTGAGGGTTTCACGCAGGAGATTCTTTCGAAAGATTTCATCATCAAGCTAAATAATTCATTTCCCAGCAAGCTTTACTTGCAGGTTTCCTATCAATTTGGTTGAAAGGTTGAGTCATACCCTCTCGCCCGAAATATTACATCTCTATGAAGGTGTTATACCCTCCCATGATGATTGCTCATGAATATAGCTTGGATTTGATTCACGTGATGCTCAGTTGCATTCATCATGGGTTAAGGGAGTTGGTCACCAAGTAACTAAGCTAAGAAGAGAATTGCCCGCATGATAGAGTCCCAAATCCCTGAGTGGAACTACCATACACTTATTTGGTGCTATGGTATACACTTCACTGTTCCTCACTCATGTCTGCTGCTACCGAGCGTGAAGAAGGAGTCTCATTGCTCCAGAGATAAAAATGTGTAAGATGTCCTACCAAGTTACGTTTTGGGGATTCACCGGATCATACAAAACAAGGAGCATTATCGTTGTTGTTGTTTCCCCTAAAGTTGCTAACACTAATCTTAGGGATGAGTTCGAAGACGGTTCCGGCGTGAAAGGATTTACCTATTTGACCAGTGGTTGTTTTAATTGGTTGGTCAATATTACAGCAAGTCATTTTGTTGCACGGTTTAATAGGACTGAGTGTTATATTGAACCCTACTTGTCTTGTCGATTCACACAATAGTTTAAGTATGATTATCTTTTTGTCGGCAACCCAAGTACATGGTTGTTGCACTCAGGAAGTCTTGTCAACAGTGCTCGTACTTGATATCACTTTGTTGTTGGCGCTACTAGAGCGTTGCACTCAGGAAGTCTTGTCAACAGTGCTCGTACTTGATATCACTTTGTTGTTGGCGCTACTAGAGCCACATTCATGCTACCTCACAACATCCCTAACTTTTATATGACATTATGGTTTTATAAGTCTACTAGAGCCACATTCATGCTACCTCACAACATCCCTAACTTTTATATGACATTATGGTTTTATAAGTAGTATAGCCCAGTGAATATTCCTAACTCCAACTTTTAGGTGAACAAACTAGTTTGTAATGGATCATCCGAAAGTACAAGGAAGCTTTCAGGAAGGGCTCCAAGAATAAAGCTCCCAGACTTCAAGAATACTTGGCATAGGTTGGGTAAGAGGATGAAGAAAACTCAAGGGTGCCAATCGAACAATTGCTACCACAAAGATCTATTGGTATCAGCATTTGAGAACCGATGGAGTCAACTGTTCATTGAGGAATTGCTGATAGAGGGGCTCATGAGAAAAGACTATTACAAGTCCAATGTCCAAAGGTGCCGTCGAAGAAGAGGTGAATGGAGCAACCAAGTCACACACTAGAGGGCCCTATAAACACAAGTGAGGATCCTTCTATGGTTCTAACATAGGAACCTGTGATTAAGGCTGTAGTGGCTTTAGTAATTTTTGTTCATATCTTTATTTTGGTTTGCTAGATACACTTGAGTGACTTATGCGTCTTATTTGTAGGTAAGGATCCTGCTTTTGTTGATCAAGAGGATTTAGACGACGAAGAGAGGGTCGGTTACGAGACCGATACCTACTTTTTTGATCCAAATGACACTAGTTTTGAGGGTGATATAGGTGAGTTCTCCTACATCCCATGTATGATCCTTTTTTATTAGGTTTGTGTAGTTACTTTATTTTTATCACTAACGCTTTGTTCGATTTCTCATAGATGATGAAGTTCAACCAGAAGCTGGTATGGAAGCAACTCTCGTGACCATTCCTACAAAGGGCGAACCTAATTGGCTATTGGTGCAATAGAAATCCTCAAACCTGAATCTGAGCATGAGGCTGCCATAGTAGCAAGTCCTACCCTATTTTTGCTGCATGATGCAAGCTGATCATTGTTGTGTCTTCTAATTCTGATCCCGATGATGTACCAATCTCTCCGATCCTATAAGGAATTGGTGTGGCGGTCCTACCAAGCCTTGAGCCTCATTTTGAAGATGAGCCTGTCGAGGCGGGGGACATATTGATTAAGCTAGAGGTTGCGGCTACTAGTTTTGCAAATGCACTAGTGGATGTGACAACGATGTCAGCGTTAGTCATACGGTCCTCTAAATCACTAGTTGTGACAACTCCATCTTCTTCTGCTATGATGGACATTTCGAGCGTGTTGGCTTCACTAGTGTTGTTCTTCTTGCCGGGTGGCCGTCAAAATCAAGCTTCGCCAGCTACTTTTTGTTGGATATTAAAATAATTTTTTAATCTTAAGAAAAATGTGCATGCAGCCATTCTTGAAAAGAAATACAAGATAACAAACTTGCCAAAATTTTGTTGAAAAAAAGGAAAAAGTGGTGGGCCCCACCACAAGAAAAATTTAGGCATGGGCCCCACATGTATAGTAAAATAATATTATTTTATTAGTGTATAGTATTTTCCAAACGCTATAAATAGACTTCAAATTCTTAAGGAAAATTTATTCCAAAAACAACAATCAATATATACAAATATAGATTGTAAAATAGCTGGTGCTTATAGGAATTTTGCCTGATAGATCGAGGAGATCTTTTGCCTGATAGATCGAGGAGATCTTTTGCCTGATAGATCGAGGAGATCTTTTGCCTGATAGATCGAGGAGATCTTTTGCCTGATAGATCGAGGAGATCTTTTGCCTGATAGATCGAGGAGATCTTTTGCCTGATATAACTGCCTGGCCGATCATTTAGCAGATTCTTACACCAACAAGCCCTCTGCAAAGGAAATCTGGAATGCTCTGGAGGACCAGTACAAGGATGAGGAGAAGCTGTCCAAATCTCACCTCATTGACAAATTTCTAGACTTGAAGTTCGAAGATGATACTGAGGTTTTACCTCAAGTCAAAGAGCTTGAAAAGCTTGTTATGAAGCTGAAGGATGAAAAGATCAATCTTTGTCAAACCTTCATCTCTGGTGCAATTGTCAACAAGCTTCCTCCATCTTGGATGTCATTCTCCACTGATATTCGAAGAAGGAAAAGACAGGTGACTCTGTCTGACTTGAAGAGGTTCATTCGGATCGAGGACGAGACTCGGACTCGCACCAAGACTGAGCTCATTGCTAAGCAGAAGGCGTCTGCTAACATTGTGGCTGCTAACTCTGAAAAGGGTAATAATTCATCTTTCAAGAAGAAGAAGTCTTTTAATAAAAAGAAGAACCAGAATCTGAAGAACCTGAACGTTCAGAAGAAGGAATTTAAGAAAAGCGGCAAATGCTTCAACTGTGGGAAGCAAGGACATTTTGCCAAAGATTGCAGAGCACCAAAGAAGGAAACAACACACAATGTCAATCAAGTTGATGATTCTGTGGCCACACTCTTCCAGGTAACAACTCTAAGCAACATCTCTAGTTGGTGGTTAGATACGGGTGATACTTGTCATGTATGCTCCAATAGAGATATGTTCTCTTCTTATGTTGCTACCAAAGAGAACATATCAATGGCTGGTCATTATGTGGTTCCTGTTCTTGGAACCGGGACTATGGTGCTGACTTTTTCTTCGGGAAAGACTCTCACATTTAAGGATGTGAAACACGTTCCCTCAATTGCTAAAAACTTAGTCTCTGGAACTGGAAGCATGTTGTGTGATGCAGGGATGAGGCTGGATTTACAAGGAGGAAAGGTTGTTTTATCCTTCAAGAAAATGTATTTTGGCAATGCATATCGTACTGATGGCATATATAAAATCAGTATGAGTGCACCCAACCCCGTTGTAATGAAATATCCTCTTCTGCTTACTCCTCTTTGTTATGACATAATAGGTTGGGACATGTAAATTATAGAAAACTGTCCAGCATGGAGAAGTTAGGATTACTTTCAAAATGTGGGGGTAACAAATCTGGTAAATTATAGAAAACTGTCCAGCATGGAGAAGTTAGGATTACTTTCAAAATGTGGGGGTAACAAATCTGAGAAATGTGAAGTTTACGCGCAAGCAAAGCTGACAAGGAAGCCATTTTTAAGTGTCACGAGGAGCACCAACCTATTAGATCTGATTCGTTCAGATACTTGTGACTTCAAAAGCTTCGTCACTCGTGATGGCAAGAAATACTTCATCACCTTCATCAACGATCATTCTCGCTTCTGCCACGTTTACCTGCTGAAATCTAAAGATGAAGCCTTCAACAAATTTGTCGAGTTTCGAACTCGAGTGGAGAAGCAGCTTGGTCTGCAGGTGAAAAGACTCAGGAGCGACAGAGGAGGAGAATATCGATCTAAGGAGTCGGAAGCATACTTCAAGGAGCATGGAATCATTGCTAAAATTACTGCTCCGTATTCTCCGCAATCCAGTGGGATTGCAGAAAGAAAGAATCGCACATTGACCGAGATGGTGAATTTGATGCTGATCACATCTTGTCTACCTATCTGCTATTGGGAAGAGGCTTTGCTGATGGAAAATTGAATTCTGAACAGAGTACCCTATTCCAAAACTGATAGCACTCCTCATCACTTATGGTTGGGATATCCAGATTCTTTGGATAGTCTTAAAGTGTGGGGGTGTCTCGTATATGTTCGAATTCCAGATATCAGAAGGCCTAAGCTCGGACCAAAGGCAAACAGATGTGTGTTTCTTGGCTTTGCTGGAGATAGCAATGTGTGTAGGTTCCTGGACCTTGGAACCAACTCCATCATTGAAGCTCGGGATGCAGAATTCTTTGAGGATAAGTTTATCAAACATAAAGGCTTATTACTCAAAGATGTAGCAGAGAATGCTAGTACATCAGATGCACAAGAGGAGCCAGTCAATGATGAATGAGTTATCGAACCATCTTCCAAACACGTCAAAAGACAGAAAGATTTTGGAGATGACTTCATCACCCATAATGTGGAAGGAGATCCACAGACTTTTTAAGAAACAATACAGTCAACAGACGTTCTTCTGTGGAAAGAAGCTATAGATGATGAGATGGATTCATTGATCCAAAATCATACTTGGGAGCTGGTGGATGTACCTAAAGGTGCAAGGCCTATCGTTGCAAGTGGATCTTCAAGAAGAAGCTCCGTTCTGATGGTACTATTGAAAAGTACAAAGCAAGACTGGTGGCAAAAGGATTCTCTCAGAAAGAAGGTATAGACTTCTTTGATAGTTATGCACCAGTTTGCAGGATCACTACCATCAGAGTGCTTATCGCATGGGTGGCGATTAAAAGTTTCGTCGTACATCAGATGGATGTGAAGACTGCATTTCTCAATGGAGATCTCACAGAAGAGATCTACATGGAGAAACCAGAAGGACTTGATGCTCCAGCTGGTAAGGTTTGTAAACTTGTTAAGTCTTTATATAAATTTAAGCAGGCACCAAAACTCTAGCATAAGAAGTTCGATGGGGTTGTTCGCAACAACGGGTATCAAGTCAGTGAATCTGACAAGTACCTATACATCAAGGTCACTGAAAGAAAGGTGGTGGTTATTTGCCTTTATGCGGATGATATGCCCATCATCGGGAGTGATTTGGAGATAATAACATCTAGCAAGTAATTTCTCTCGGTACAGTTCAGCATGAAGGACCTTGGAGCTGCGGACGTGATTCTCGGAATCAAAATCATATACTCTGAAGAGGGTATTGGATTGTCCCAATCTTATTATGTCGAGAGCATGTTATGGAAGTATGGCTACTACGACCTGTTAGAACTGTCAGTGCCATATGATTACAACAAGAAGCTTCGACCGAACACTAGAAGACCAGTAGAGCAGCTGAGCTACTCAAAGATCATTAGGAGTCTCATGTACACGATGAGCTGCACAAGGCCAGACATTACATTCACTGTAGGAATACTTAGTAGATTCACAAGTAATCCTGGAAAGCTTCATTGGGATGCTGTCCAGAGATTGATGAGATACTTAAAAGGAACTACAGGTCTGGGCCTATTCTACACTGGATATCCAGGTGTAATCGAAAGCTATTCAGATGCGAGCTAGTGCTCAGAACCAGATGAGTGCAGATCTACTGGAGGATTTATCTTCACTATAGATGGAGCTGCTATCTCGTGGAAGTCTAAAAAGCAGATAATGATTGCATAGTCATCGATGGAATCTGAGTTCTTCGCACTCTGTGCTACAGGAGATGAAGCTGAGTGGCTCAGTTGTATTCTCTGAGACCTTCTATTGACAGAATAGCAAGGCGCAATTACTATCTATTGTGATAATCAAGCGACGAGTGCTGTGGTAGCGAACTCGTTGTTCAATGGAAAGAAACGGACTATTCGTCTGAAGCATGGCTATTTGAGAGAGCTTATTTGTCAAGGAGTCATCTCTGTGATTGACGTCCGATCTTCAAAGAATGTAGCTGATCCTTTGACTAAGGGTCTGAAAAAGGACATAGTCGAAAGGATGTCTGCTAGAATGAAAGAATGTAGCTGATCCTTTGACTAAGGGTCTGAAAAAGGACATAGTCGAAAGGATGTCTGCTAGAATGGGTCTCAAAAGTTTGTTAGTCTTACAGATACTTACCATGTTTATTAAGTTATTAGTTCAAAGCTTATGCTACTAATAATAAAATAATTAGTTCAAAATTCAAGTAAGATTTGCAAAGTTTGGTAAGTCTTACAAATACTTACCATTTACATCAGTTATTAGTTTAAAGTTTATGCTACTAATGATAAGATAAATGGTTCAAAAGTCAAGTAAGATTTACAAGTGAAAGGGTTCAAGTTTCCTTGGATTAGTCGGTGTCTAAGGTAAGGTTTGGGGGTTGCGTAACGCGCTCCGTAAGGAACAAGATACTTAATTGATCTTTGATCAACCTCTAATATTATCCTTACCTGGCTGAACTACCCGAGTAAAACTTTGATCTTTTCACCTAGAATCCTATCATGTAAAGGGGATGGCTGTTAAGCCTTAATGGGTCCAAAGTATTTCGGATGTGGGGTGTTAGATAGGAAACACACCTAAAGGACTCACCTAGAATCTTATCATGAGAGAGGGTTGCTCTTGAGCCTTAATGAGTTCAAAGCATTTCGGATGCGGGATGTTTGATAGGAAACATGCCTAAAGAACTCACCTATGCATAGGTGGAGACTTGGCCGTCTCCTATGATGTCTTGTGGAAAGATATCTAGAGCCCTAGCAGAAACCAGGACATGCACAGGGCCATAAATGTGCAAAGGCAAGGCAAAGGCAAAGGCAAGTGTGGTTCAAAGTGAAAACTACAATAGATGAGTTTGATCTTATGTGATCACTGGATTTTTAGACATGTGCTGGTTCAAGTCTCTGCGATACCATACATCTATCTTTTATTCAGTTGGTCTAAAGGGGG